TTTTTTTGTCCTGCAACTTTACTGAGTTCATTTATTAGTTCTAAACTTTTTGTAGTCTGTGTGTAAGATCATACCACCAGCAGAGGGAGGTAATTAACTTTTTTATTGGATGCCTTTTTTTCTTTTCTCTGAGTAATTGCTCTGGCTGTGGGGTCTGGGATGGTACTGAAAGGGTTGAGCGTGGCCCTCCTGGCTTCTCTCTGTCCTAGGGGAAAGTTTCCACTTTTTACCATGACGATGATGTTAGCTACGGGTTTGTCGTGTGGGCTTTGAGGCACCTCCCCTCTATGCTTCATTTGTGGAGTTTTTAAAATTTTATTTTATGAGTGGGTGTTGAGCTTCGTCAAAAGCTTTTTGTTGCTCTGTTGAGATGCCTGGTTTCTACCTTCCGTTTCTCAGTGTGGGACATCATGTTTGTTGACGTGTGTGCTGCACCATCGTTATATCCCAGGGATAAATCCCACTCACCATGGTGAATTCTGTGCTGCTGAATTTGTTGGGCCTTTTTGCATCTGTGTCCAGCGGGGATGCTGAGCTGGAATTCTCTTTCTGTGTCCTTGTCCAGCGTAAGGATGCTGCTGACCCTCACAGACGGGTGGGGGCGCCCTGTGCTCGTCAGTTGTTTCGGGAGTGTCCAGGAAGGGTGGGGGCCCGTGCTTCTGTAATACTGGGAGGAGATGGTCTGGGAAGCTCCTCGGCCTGGGGTTCTCTGTGTTGCTGACTGAGTCTTCGCATCACTGTCCGTTCAGGGTTCCTGACTCTTGTGGCGCAATCTGGTTGGTCCCCTTCTCCTCCTGCCCACTCGGCTTCCTCTCAGCTCGCGGCGGCTGGAGCCTTCTCCCTCACTCCAGCCCAGGCTTGCCTTGCGCTCCTCAGAGGTTCCCTTGCAGGCGCAAGGAGTTGGGTCTGAGTTTCGTGTTTGTTCCCCACCTTCGGTTGTGTGGCTGGAGAGCTTAATCCATTTCCATCTAAAGGAAGGGCCGCTTCGCCGGTGCTTTCTGTCTTGGGGCCCCCGCTGCCCACAGGCGCCGGCTCCCCGTCTGCTCCTGCACAGCCTCGGCAGCTGTCGCTTCCACTCATCCGGCTTGGTCCTTGTCGGTCTGTGTCAAAGCGTGCCAGCTCTCCCGTGACAGCAGTGAGGCTCGGGGGGCTGCAGGGCCGGAGTGCGGACTCAGGAGCCTGAGGTCCGAGGCACCTGGATGCCACTGCGAAGCACGTGGCAGAGAGGCTCGGCTGCTCTGCGGACGACCTGCCGCTCCAGAGAACGCACCGTCGCATTTGCTACTTGAGGTGTGGCTGTTGGAGAGGAATGCCTGTGTCACGTAGCTCTTCCGGGGCTGCTAAAGGCACAGGGTCCTGGCTCCTGCGTCCCACACTCCCCTCGCTCTGCCCCTTCACATGGGGTGCAAAGTGCTAACAGGAGCCTTTACTCAGCTCCTGGCAGCTAGAATAAGCCAACTCTGATAGTGCTGGGATTAAATATTCACCATTTGCTGAGCATGGTGGCTCATGCCTGTGATCCCAGCAACTGGGAGGCTGAGGCAGAAAGATCATTGTGAGTCTGAGGCCAACCTGGGTTGCATAGTGAAACCCTGTCTCGAAAAACAAAAAACAAACAAGAACCTGTCAAAAACTACACCCCTGCCCCACCAAATTACTGCATTTCCTTGCTGAATTATTCTCCAAATTCTGGAGACTGAGGAGAGATAACAAAAAGAAATCACAAGTTTTTGTGCTAACGCACCCTTTCCCCTCTTATTTTTTTATTTTTTTGCAGTGCTGAAATTGAGCCCAGAACCTTTGCACTGAGCTACATCCCCAGCACTTTTTAAATTTGTTTAAAATTTGAGATATGGTTTTGCTAAACCTTGGAATTGCCCAGACTTGGTGATTCTCCTGTCTCAGCCTCCCAGAGTGCTGGGATTACAGGCTGTGCCGCCATACCTGGCTCCATTCTTCCCTTCCTGATCCACGTCTGCAGTCTGAGTGGGTGTCAGGTAGGACGAGGAAGCCCACTGGGGGTGTTTTAATTGCCTTGGTCCTCTGGGTGGCACGAGGCTGTAGCTTGGACAGGTTGAGTCTCGGTTAGTTCCTGCTGCCATGCCGTGTGGCCCCCTCCGGGGGTTGGCCATTCTGTCCCCAGTGTCCAGCAGTGGTTGGAAAGCCCAGGAGGCAGCTGTGGGGTGCCGATGCGTCACAGATTAGTGAGCCTCGAGCCGGGCCCTCAGGGTGTTCACAGCCCGCGGGGCGGCCTAGAAATGATCCAGCGGCTGATCCCCGCTGGGCCATGCGGAGGAGCTGTGGAGGGCACTGGGGCCTTGCCAGCTTGCTGACTGCAAGCAGGGGCCCTCACATGCACAGCGGCCTGTCGGTCCCTGGGGCTGGGCTGCACTGGTGTAGCTGCCGGTGCTGGTGTTGGCCGCACGCTGAGCTCCTGGTGGGCGCAGGGCCAGGAGGAGGCAGCGTGGGGGTCTCCACGGGGTCAGGAGCCACGAGAGTTTCCAGGGAGATGTGTCCTGCATGTGCTTGACCACGAGCAAACGGCGCCCTGGGGAGACCCGCCCGAGAGGCCAGGTCTGTGTCCGGTACGCCAAACAAGTAGTTTACCGTAATAGTCCAGACCAGGAATAATGAGCAACTGGACTGGGGAGCGAGGGGCTGCACAGGACTGGGGGCCTGGGCGGCGCGGAGGGAAAAGCACTGTGGACTGAGCCAGCCAGGTGTGGGGAAGAGCAAGGTGGGCGTCCAGCACGCTCCTGGGGGCTTAGAGAGGCCACCGCGTCCCCAGGCACCGCGTCTGGGAAACACAGCACTGACTTAACCCTGGAGGGCCCGGAGAACCCCACGCCTTCCCAGAGGTTTGTCCAGGAAACAAGCGCGGTGCTTCCCTGGCCCAGGAAGAGGTTAAGGGGGCTCCTGGCCATCTGCGCCTGGCGGTGGAGTCACTTGACTGGGTTTCGGGGCCGCATGACCGGCAGCTGAGGCCAGTGAGCCAGATCTGAGTGTCCAGAGGCGCCGGGGCAGCTGCCCTCAAAGGCTCTTTGGGAAGGGCTGAGAGGCCCCCGACTCCTGCAGCTCTCTGTCTACACAGATCCTGAGTGGCCCCGCTGAGGACGCGTAACTGGACGAGGTCAGTTGTTGATGTGTGGGCAGCTCTGCCCCGCAACCCGAAAGCAGCAAGCCGAGCTTCTGCGCTGAGGTATGGCGGTGATTTATCTTTCCTCCCTGGTGTCATGCTTTAAACTGTGCCATTCACCTGAAAATACCGCCGTGCTCCCTGATGCTGTCTGGAGGCTCCTGATGTCGGGTGGGAAAGGGGCGCGTGCGGTGACCCCGAGCGGTGCGGATGCCGAGCCTGCTCCTCCTTTATGCTCTGAGGCTCATAAAGTAGCAGGAGGTTTTAGCCTTGGGTGATGCCTAAGGACCTGAGTGACTCTCAAAAGTTGCTGTCCTCTGAGGGTCTTGTCGTAAAGTTCAAGTCCCCTGGGCTTCATTTCCGAGCGGCTTGCCTATGGCTGTCCTGCGGTGCAGTGCGCCTTGGGTGCGGGGGGAAGGCTGGCTGGGACCTTGTGGGTTCATGGCAGGCAGCGCCTGGGACCTTGTGGGTTCATGGCAGGCAGTACCTGGGGAAGTCCGAAGCTTAGAGGAGCACAGTGGGGCAGGGCGGCGGGGGTGAGGCAGGGCTGGAGGTCGGTCCCTCTCTCTGGGACAAAGCCATCAGGGTCCAGGCCTCTCACGTGGCTCCCGCACACCCTGGGGACATGGCGTCTCCAAAGAGTCTGTGTCCGGTCTCCAGGTCCTGTGGGGACCAAGGCCTGGCCCGCTGGCCTCCTCTCAGCTGGTCACTGGCTCCACATGGGTCACAGCGGAGGCCGAGGAGCTCGGACCTCAGCATGAGAACGCCGGGTGGTGGCAGCCGGGTCAGAGCGGGGCCGACGTCCTTTCAGAGCTCTGCTGCTGGCCATGCTGCTGCAAAGCTGTGAGGACCGGGCCGACGTGGGGTTGTGTCGGGCGACCTGGTGTTGTGTGGTAGTCTCTGCCCTTGTCCTGGAAGCCAGGCAGGTCCCTTGTGGGCGGCCTGCTGGGTTGGGAGTGGACAGGCCTCACACTCCCTTGCTCCAACTGCCCTCGGCAGGCTGAGCTGGGTCCAGGCCGAGCCCTTGCGCCTCCCTTTGCCACGGCCCAGTTGTCAGGCAGGAGCAGCCCCAGGCTCGGCGGTCACCGGGAAGCCTGGGCACTGCGCTCCCTGGGGTCTACGTCTGGGGCGGGGGCTCTGCCTAGACCCTCCTGGGGCGTCACTGGCACACAAAGGGAGCTCGCCACTAGAACCAGCCCCACCCGTTCCAGGAGGCACACTGCCAGGGATCAGGGCCCGGGCTGCTCTTACTGCTCCGTCTTCCTCCCTCCCTCCCTCCTTTCCTTCCTTCTCCTTTCTGTGCCGCTGGGAGTTGAGCCCAGGCCGTTACACTGAGCTGCATTCCCAGCCCTTCTTTATTTTTTATTTTGAGGCAGGGTCTCGCTTAGTGGCTAAGCTGCCCAAGCTGGGCTGGAACTTGCCATCCTCCTGCCTCAGCCTCCCAGAGCGCTGGGTTGACAGGTGTGCCCACCACACCCAGTGTGTTCTTCTCCGTGGGTTGGGCCTTGTTTGCTGGCGGGGCTGAGTGAGTTCATACTGCAAGGGACATGGAGAAGGGCTTGGTGAGTGTTGGCTCCTGGCTCTTGCCTCCCTGGTCATGGCACCATTCAGTCGGTGTCCAAACCAGGATTCTCTGGTCCGTCAGCCTCCTTGTGGTCAGCGTGGTGTTACGCTGACTTCCACCGCGATCCCTCCTGGCCGGATCCGGGCTGTGCCCCCGTCACGGACAGCCGCCTTGACGTCACACCCAGCTGCTGCCGCAGCCCCGCGCGTGCGCCTGCTGGGTCTCGGCTGAGGCCGAGGCCGAGGGAGGCTGTGTTGCAGGAGGCTGGGTGGCTCCTCCCTGGTGGACGCCGATGCCCTGCTGCACCCCGCCCTGCGGGAGGAGGGCAGGCACCCGGCCTCCAGGAGGCCCTCAGCAGCTGCTGCTCACCTGGAGCCCTCCCGGGACCCCATGGGCTGACGCCTGTGCAAACGGGGAGACGCAGAGCAGCGGGGTGCCAGCCGGGGTGCTCGGGCCTCTGCTCCCTGCCACAGCCTCTAGTGCTGCCGCCCAGTCCTGGGGGCCACCGATGTCCACCCCGCTCCCCTCCGCAGGCAGCTGGGCTGCTCTGTGCGCCGTCCATGGGCACCAGCATGGCTCGTGTCTTCACCACAGAACACTGAGATGCAGGAGAGCGCGCCCAGCACCCCGCACATGCTGTCCTTTCTGTCCCCTCGCGTCGGCACCTGCGCCTCTGTGACACGAACCTCCTCACATTGTCCCAACCCCCCCACCATGCGCTGGCGGCCACACTGAGGTTGCTGGCCTCACCTCTGGGTAGCGCTCACCCCGCTGCTGCTCTGTGCCGCTCCTGGTGCACGAGCGGCCCCCGGGCTTGGCCACGCCGTCCCACATCACTGCCCTGACGCCTGCCCCCCTGCTGTGCGAGTGCTGGCGCCTCAGGCCCCTGGTTTGTCCTCTGCACCCTGGCGAGGCTGATGCCCCAGGCCGCTTAGGCCTGCTGAGCTTGGCGCAGGCCGCCCCCAGGCTTCGTCCTCACGAGTGGCCTTCAGCACCCCTCTGCTCAGGGCTTTGCTGTATTTCCACTGCTGTCTCTTGAGCCAAGTTTACTTCCCTCTCAAACACCTGAAAGTCCTGTTGAAGAGCAGCTTCTCCAAGGAGAGGAAGAAGGTCGAAGGGAGGGGAGGGGAGTGGGAAAAAGGCAGCAGCAGGAGCTGTCAAACACAGGCGAACTCCGGACAACGAGTGTGGTCATACGCGTATCTAAAACGCACCGATAAAACAAAAGCCACACACAAACACACGCAGCAGAGTCACACTAAGCACTTCGGAGAGCTCCCCAGGTGCTGCAGACCGGGAGGACAGAGGACGGAGGGGCACGGCTGCGGAGGGCGCTCCTGGGCCCAGGCCAGGCTGCTGACCGAGCTGGCTGACCTGTCCCGTCCACTTTCTTGGCATTCAGGGCTCCTGTCTGTATCACATAGAAGCTCGAGATAGTGGCTTCTTCTGCACAAAGCTCCTTTTCCTTCCGGGTCAAGCGGCACCCTCTTGGTTCCCCTACTTCCCTAGCGGAGCTCTGGCGGCTGCAGATTTGGGGGTCATGTTCAGGCTACTGACACACAGGGGCCAGTCTTTTAAGTGGGCCCCAAATAACCAGCTAGTTTAGAAATTCATTGGGAACTTCGTAGCTTAAAGATATGATTTTTTTTTTTTTTTTTTTTTTTTTTTT